ATGATTGTAGGGGGGGGAGGTCTAAAGTCTGAAAAAATCGATGACGTAATTTATGGACGGCCCCTAAGTTATACCCAGTGAATTTAATTACGTTACTTTAATTACTAGATGAGAAATTATGATGTTATATTTGCTTTACAGTTATGAAGCCTTTTATAGGGTCTCGCTTATTACTTGATTCTATAACGAGAATATAACGGGACAGGTATTTACAGTGTTATTTATTACACATATATTTTTTAATAAATAAAAAACAGATAAAGCGTGGATTTTATAAACCAAGCTAGCTTTTCTTTTGATCTGAAAATAGTTGTTGTATTTATAAAACTACCAAGTTTGTAAAAAACTAGCTGTTTGTTCGCGACTTCGTCCGCGTATAATTATAAAATAGTAGGTAATACATAGGCTATGTTACTCAGTGATAACATAGCTTTTTAATGGTGAAAGAATTTGTAAAACAACCCAGTATTTTTTGAGTTTTAAAATACATACAAAAATACAAATGTCTCCACTTTATAATGTTAGAATAGATAAGTATGAAAAGATAAGTGAAGAAAAAAATTAAAAACATAATTAAAACTTATCTTCATAAATCGGTTCAGAGTATCTATTCGATCTTATTTAAATTAACCTTATTTACATACAGCACTACAATTTGCTTATTACTATGTAAAATATACTCAACAGCAGCCATCGAGTATAATTATGTTACTACAAAAACAATAAAGAGAGCTATTATAACTGGTCGCAAGATCTGGCACATTGGACCGCGATACTAAGGGTCGAAATACACTGACTGGCTCAAGCAGATACAAGGCGGGGTATAACCATCTACGTTAACGGCTACTGCCAACTGCGGTCCGTGCGATAGCTTTAAGCTGGCGATACTATCTGCTTGTAGCATTCCGTGTATGGCAAACCTAACTCCCGTAATATTATACCTACTATGAATATCTTATGCGTAAACACATAACGGTGGTCCGCGGGCTTATTGTGGTTTGTAAAGCGAGACAGTTTTTTATACACTGACCTAAATTTAATAGCATTTTATTATCTGTTATAATAACTACATAGAAAATATTGTTCCAATCTTAAATAAAACAGTTTGAAACATCGCGTTTGTAGCAATAAGAACAAACTTGGAGATTAAGGGCCTGTCCTACTAAATTGTAAATTGACTGATAACAATCCAACGTGTAAAAATGTGATGTAAATATCGGATTTTGTTACCTTATCTGACAGTGACGTCTTCTTTTAGCTATCTAAGCTTCTACCAGCCATTGGTGGGAATTGATATTGCTTAAATTCCACAGTTCTTGTATTTTATGTCCTGATTTATTAGCGAATTATTACTTATACAGCAAGCTGATTAGCTTTGTAAATGGATTTTATGTAGTACACGACAAGTAAAACTAAATAGCGATATAATTAGGCCTTATACTTATGCCCTATAATACTAGACACTAGATAAAACGTGTTCTGAGATCCTGCGATTCATAGAAGACAGGTTGTTATTCTATTTTTAGTCTGAGAATTTTCTATAAAGATGGTTGATTTGCATGGAAATATTTACGCTTTTTATCATGTTTTTTATTGTTTTATTTTATTGTAATTACTCTTTGCGTTATTAATAATTTATGAGTTTATCTTTGTTCAAATGTAATTTGTAATTTCGTGAGTTCGTTTACATGTATTTTTTTTATTTTTAGATCCAAAATGTTACGGAAGACGATATTCACAATTTGCCTGTTTTGTGTATCAGCACAGGCCCTCGCCAGCAGTGATGACAAATTCATCAAAAAATATGCCATGATGAAGGTAATATTTTGTTAAAATCTAAAAAAAGTTCGCAGTCGGTAGGATTCGAACCTACGCTCCCAGAGGGAATCTGATTTCTAGTCAGACGCCTTAACCGCTCGGCCACGACTGCTTGCAACATCGAGTTGAATTATTGTTATAGTTCATACTTTTGCATTTATTCCATTGTGTGTTTATTTTTCAGAATTCGGCAAAAAAATAAAAACCTGCAGCCAAATACCTAGATTGAAATTACATTTTTTTAAATTAAGTTAAATTTTACAAAACCGTGTTTTAAAAAAATTACATTTTCAGATCTATGAAAGCTGTTTTGGCCCTGAAGTTGTAAAACAAATTAGAGAAGAAATGAAAGACGCGTACGCTAAATGTTCGTTACCGCCATCTTTCGAAGAGACGCCGAACCCTCCCCAAATGTCGTCTGTATTGCTCGGGAAGTTACCGCCCGGTTTCTCCATGGATCCGAGCACGCAAACTATCACTAAGCCCACAGATGGCGCTTCCCTAAATCAAGACAATGATTTATCAAATATAGATATGAAACCACAAAAACAAACACCTATGGCAGGAGTTTTATCATTCCGACCATTGACAGTACGTATTAAGTTTACCTCTATTTAAAAAAAGCGGAAAAAAGTGTTACAAAAATTAACATAAAAAAAACGTGATGCCTCCTGTGAGGATTGAACTCACGACCCCTGGTTTACGAGACCAGTGCTCTACCACTGAGCTAAAGAGGCGATGAATGATGGTTTGAAATATGTCTTTAGTTTATACAATTTAATTTAATAGATAATCTTATTGAATAGATTGAAATAAATAATTTAATATTATTTTAATACTTATTCCGTTTGCTTACAGCCAAATTTCCAGCAACAAGCTATCCCACAAGCGGGTATTCCGCCGTACATGATGCAGAACCCTCAATTCCGCCCCTTCAGTCCTGCTGCTTCTTTCTTCCAAACACCATACAGTGCGC